CTTTCTTTTTTTCATTTTCAATCTCTTATCACGTTTTCATAGGAGTAAATTATTTCAAACAATAACTTTGTCTGTTTGTTTTTCATAGAAATAGATCGTGGTTCATGAATTTCTACTTAAGTGAATATTGTTTCCTTTGTAATAGGTTTCTTTAGTGCTCATTTCATGGACAAGATTTCATTTGCCTGTGTATCACTCTATGATCAATTCATGTAATAGTGCATCGTCAAAATTATTTATGCAAGGTGTTCTATTAGTCCATACTAAATATCCTTCCACTCTATGAATTGAACACCTTATCTTCAGTTTGTCCCTTCTTTCTCTTATATTTAAAATATTATTTTTTAACTAAAGAGATCATCCTAACTCCTCTATTCTCAATCGAGAAGAGTTTTTGCCTTCAACCATAACCATCTTTTGTGTTCGAGTGGTGTTGTCTCCTTTTTCACGGGTTTGAGTGCAGAATTTCTGATCGAATAACATTAAATCAATTCAATATATCTCGGAAAATCGCACGAGTGATGAACCATATTGAAATGGTTGAGAAGGTTGATTACATGCAATGTGATTTTGAATCCACCTACAAACAAAATCAAATGAGAAATTAAATGAGATAGAAAAGCAAAATAAATGGTAACATCAGGGAAACTTGTAGTCATGATAAATTGGTAATGACGTCACAATTCACTCTCTTACTAGTATATTGACCTAAGACAGTTATGTAGTCAAAATATGTTCTTAATAGTGGGATGTAGATGCGATAAGTTCGGTCCCCGAACCAGAATCACCAATTTGGTTGTCTATCGAGGATGCAATGATTAAATGCAAGACATGCGTGGCTTATTCCAACAGCCAAGATAAATCATTAGGGGGTTATGTGGCAACCTACGTGATAGGCTCAGGCCAGAGGTTTCTTGTGCAGAAAGAATGGATTAATTCCTTTTTGGAGAAAGCAAAGATAGATCCCCCACTTTTGAGCTTTCCTCAACCTCGTGGGAAGGAGAAAATTTATGATTGTCAACTATAGTCCTGACTCTGGTTTGATTTGAATGATTAAACTGTTTTTGCAAAGGAAGATTAAACTGTGTTTGGATAATTTTAGTTCTATTTCGAAGTGACATGCACTCAAATGATATGTACAATTCGGTTAATCTCTTTTTGTTGACAATCTAGTTGCATCATGAAGGAGTATGTGGGTCCAAAAAAAATGTATTTTTCCTTTTGATGCTATATTTGGCCCGTTATTCCATGAATCTCTCTGATTTTCGTGCTATTGGCTCACAACTTCCTCACTCACATGAAAATTAATTAGATTAGAAATCTCCCAAGTTGGTTTGGGTAAGATTGGTAAAAACATTTCTCATTGCGTTATATCTTCTAAGAAAATGAAAGACTGTGTAAAATGATACAATTTTCACATGAATATTTACTTGTATTTTGTCCAATATACACAAATGTAATGATCAGTTTTTATTGTTCCTTTATTTATGTATAACTATGTGCATCAGCACTTCACGTAGTTAAAGACTACCTCCAATAATCATGTTATTGGTAAAGAAACTAATTTGATTGGAATTGTAATGTGCAAACAATTTTACAATGTGCATACAATTTTGCAAATCATGTGCATACAAGTAGATTAGTTTTTATAGTTCTTTTAGAGTTAGTGGATTTCATGGTTATAAAGTTCGAGTTAGGAATGAAATACAGTGTGCATACAATTTTGCTAATCCAATATTCTAAAAGAGATCTAATCATATAGCATTTTTTTCACCAGAAAAAATCGTTTAAAAATAATAATGGAATTACAAAATCAAAATTCAAATGTATTAACAAAGTCCATTAGAAATTTAGTAATTGCATGTTCTTCATTTTTCAACCATGGCATAAATCATCAATATTAATTTGAGAGGCCTAGAAATTGGGAATGTGAATGTTAGAGTCGAGACGACCGTAGAAGTGGAAGTTGAAGTAGTAGGGAGAGGCCGGAGGAGTCCATGGCTGATTCCATTGTTGATCATGGTTTTGATCCTCGTCTTCTGTATGATATGTCTCAGAATAATTGGAAGTTTCAACCTTGGGTAGAAAATCGGGATGAATGTCCTTCAAATAGCACGTAAGTTTAAAGAAATTCTTCCAACTCTATGTGTTTTTTCACTGTATTTCTCCAATTTGTTGTGTTCTTTGCCTTTTTAGACTTCCCAGAGAATAAAATTATATAATAATTGAAAAACACATATAGTGATAAACACAACAGTGTAGTGATTTTCTATTGAAGTTTCGATACAATAGATGAAGATATTCCATGAAGACGAATGATATTATCAACATAAATTTGCGCAACTCTATCTAAAGAATACTTCACATTTACTGACAGAAAATGCGCAGACTAAGTAAACCGATCAACAATGACCCAAATTGCATCATGACTTTGCTGTGTTTGAGGTAAACCAACAACAAAGTCCATGGTTATATGCTCTAATTTTCATTCCGGAATCTCCAAAGGTTGTAGTAAACCGGATGGTCTCTGATGTTCCAACTTCAGCTGTTGCTACGTAAAACATGCAGCTGCGAACTCAGCTACATCTTTCTTCAGGTTATCCCAGTGGTAATGCTGCTTGAGATCTTGGTACATTTTGGTGCTCCCAGGATGTACAGTATATCGAGAACGATGCGCTTCAATCAAAATGTCTCTTTTCAACTCAGGATCATGCGTAACACATATACGGTTTCTATACTTCGGAGCTCCATCAGGCCCTAAAGAATACTCATGCAGTTCTCCTCGCCAAACTCTATCTTTTCGTTGTTGCAAAACCTCATCATGCTCCTGCGCTTCTCGAATTCTAGGATATAACATTGATCGGATAGTGATATTAGCAAAGACCACTCTTCCTTGTACCTCCGTAGGATTCCAGTCAAACGCCTACTCCAGCAAATCTGTTTCTTTAACCATCAACCTCGCTACTTGAGCTTTTCTACTCAGTGCATCAACCACCATGTTAGCTTTCCCGGGATGAAAATTGATAGAGGAATCATAGTCTTCTAAGAACTCAATCCATCTACATTGTCGCAGGTTCAAATTTTTTTGTGTAAAAAGATATTTCAGATTCTGATGATCTGTCATCACCACAAAAGTCACTCCATAAAGATAATGCCTCCACTTCTTCAGGGCAAAAACAACAGCTGAAAGTTCGAGGTCATGTGTATGGTATTCTTCTCATAATCTTTAAATTTCCGAGATGCATAGGAAATAACTCTCCCATGCTGCATAAGAACACATCCCTTCTCCAGATGCATCTGTATACACCACATAGCCATCATTTCCACAAGGTAATGCCGGTATTGGCGCTGTCGTTAATCGCTTTTTTAACTCTTCAAAACTTGCTTCAGCTCTATCATTTCACTCGAATTTCACCTTTTTCTGAGTGAGCCTGGTCATTCATTTTTGAAATGTCTTGCACAAAACGCCAGTAGTATCCAGCCAACCCAAGAAAACTACGAATTTCAGTAACACTTTCTGGCCTATTCCAATTAGTGATGGCTTCCATGTTCGAAGGATCAACGTATATTCCTTCTTTAGAGATAATATGCCCCAGGAATGCAATCTTTTCCAGCCACAATTCACATTTGTTGAATTTATGATAAAGCTTAGTCTTCCTCAAAGTCTATAGCACTAGACGTAGATGCTTTGCTTGTTCAGTGGTAGACTTGGAATAAACAAGAATGTCATCAATAATTGACAACAGATTTGTCTAAAAAAGGCTGAAAAACACAATGCATAAGGTCCATGAAAGCTGCAGGTGCGTCACTCAAGCCAAATGGCATGACTCGAAACTCATAATGGCCATATCGAGTACTGAAAGCGGTAATTAGAATATCTTCCTTTTTAACTCGCAACTGATAATATCCCCACCTCAAATCTAATTAGAAAAAGTAGTTGCACCCTGCAGTTGATAAAAAAGTTCATGAATAAGAGGCAGTGGATACTTGTTCTTGATTGTCACATTATTCAGACCCCGATAATCTATATACAACCTCAAGGTTCCGTCTTTCTTCTTCACAAACAGCACAGGAGCTCCCCACGGCGATGTACTTGGCTGGATAAATCCTATTTCAAGTAAATCTCGCAGTTGTGTCTTTAATTCTTTGAGTTCAGCTGGCGCCATTCGATATGGTGCTCTTGAAACTGGTGCAGTACTCGACAATAGCTCTATTTGAAATTCAACCTCACGTTCAGATGGTAGTGATTTCAATTCATCAAAAAATATCAGGGAATTCTGCCACTACAGGCACTGTGATAACCAATCCATCCCAAGAATCACATCATACTCCCTTATTGGTAATACAACTAAATCTATTGGAAAGTTCCTTTTTTCTACCCAAATATTACACCCTTTATAAACCCGGTCAGTGGCAGCAAGTTTATCTATTGTTGGTGTGCTAACCTCTAAAAGGTAAGGGAGGTTTTCTTCCCTTGCAGTTAGTTTGTCAATAAAACTAGAGGTTACAAAAGAATGGGTAGAACCAGGGTCTACTAACACTTTAGCAGTTTGAGAGAAAACTAGAAATGTATTTTAGGAGTGCAGATGGTTCAGGTCCCTCTTGATCCTCCAAAGCATAAACTCAAGCTGCCATCCTTGGTTTTGTTCTTGCGGCATCTGGTTTCGCTTGCGCCAGCTTACTTGCTATAATAGCTGTCGAGGTCTCACTCTGAACACCAGGACAATCACGAGCCTGATGTTCCATACTACCGCAACGATAACAATTCTGCAATGCTGACCAACAATGCATTTCCGTATGCCCAGGTTGTTGACGTTTGTTGTAGAAGGACATTTGTGGTTGTGGCGTAACTGGTCTTGGTGGTCTCTAAGGTCATGGAGGTCTAACATGTCTAACAGGTAATCCAGCTGGGTTTCTTGGCTGAAAGTCTGGCCTTTTTCTGGGTATATAGCTTTTTGGTCTCAGCCAGGGCATTGTTGGTGATGCAACTTGGTTTCGAACTAACCTGTCCTCTTGTTATATACATTTTCAGCCTTCTGAGCAACGTCCACCATCTGTGCATAGGTGTCTTCCTTCATGGTTGACAGTACCCACTGCAATTTTAGGTTCAATCCCTGCACAAATCTTTTTCCACTTTTCATGTCGGTGTCCACCTGTTCGGGAATAAACCTCGAAAGATTGTTAAATTTTGCAGTATATTGGGCAATTGTCATTCCGTCTTGTTTCAAACAGATAAAATCTTCTCCCCTTTGCTCATGAACTACTGCAAACTTGCAGTTGTTGAGAAATTCCCGCATGAAGTTAGCCCAAGTAGTTGGTATGTGTTCATCGGTCCACCTCTGCCTGACTATTAGTCACTAATTTGAAGCTGGTACTCGTAAATGATACACTACAAACACAACCTTTCGCTCCTCGGGATAGTGGAGTACGGTAAAAATTTTATTCATCCTCTCGAGCCATCGCTCCTCCATCTCTGGACCTTCCTCTCCATTAAGTATAGAGTCCAAATTTCTAAAATCTTTCTAATGCAACATCTTCTCGAACTTCACTAGGTGGTCGGGACATACGAGTCTCCTGTGGTTCAAAGTACTGCGCCATGTGCTCGACAACACTCGTCATTCCATCTACGACTACATCTTGAGTTCGACTAGGCCCAGGTTGCTCAATTGCAGTAGAGGGCTCTATGGCTTTATGGCCCTCCATCTATATATAAAATGCAGAAAATAAACAAAGAGAAAACAGAAAAGAAACATGGACTTGCAATAACAACAATCATACACATCTACAAGTCACATGGTTATTACACAGAGCACTCTAATCAACTACACAATACATTCAATCTATATTTGCATCTCTAATATGACAATAAAAGCAAAAACCAGTAGCTATTTCCACAAAACATTCAAACCTACACAGGAAGGTTCACATTCCCCGTCTAATAACCTATAACAAAACTTCATATCCATTTAACTTAGGCTCTGATACCACTGTGTGACACCCTCTAATTTGCTCTGCATAGTTTAACACTAAACAAGGAAGCTTAAGAAAGGCATCTGCCCAACTCTCATCAGGACTCGCACACTAAAAGTTACTGACAAATGGATTTCATAAGTAAACGCAAGAAGTTAAAATATTACAAGAAGGAGGCCTGCCCTTGAAACATATCTTACAGAATTTTATTGATGTTTAGATAAAGGCAGCAAGGCAATATATAGCATCTACGCCAACAGAATTTTGACAATTTGATTTCAAAGGGAGCACTTTATACCAGGAAGTGCAGAAATTTTAATAACTTTAACAGGCTTTTAAAAGTGAAGAAATTATAAATAAAATGCTTTAGGACTCACGAAGAATAGTGAGAACGAGCTCTGAACTTAAACATGAGTGGGTACAACAGGGATTCATCCAACCAGATTCAACGGATGAAGTCTCTGCAAAGTATATCAGTGAAGTTTGAGGACAACAATTAAATAGGTAGCAAAGTTGGAAGAGGAGCAGAAGCTAAAAGAGCAAACCGGCTCTTATTGCCAAACCAAAATTGATGTCCTAAAAGGACATCCTGTTTAAACAACCAGGAACTCCACACTTCATGATTTGATCATTTGTTCCTACAACTAAAACTAAATATAGCAACTACTCACAAACCCAAACCTGCAAAACAACCACAAACATTTACAGACCTGTAGCAACTAACACACCCTACATCCAAACCTCTATTTCACACACACACACACACACACACACACACACACACTTATATACAGAAACTAGGAAGCCTAGCAGTATCAACAATACAGGACTGCAGCGACTTACAGCCAGGTTACTGGTACTCGTACTCGGCTTCCTGATACCAAGGATCAATCCCCTCACTTTCGTACTCCTCACCCTCAAAACCTGCATTTAAAACACATTCTTATGGGGTGAGCTAGGCTCAGTGAGGATCCCATAGTTTAAAACGTTTGCATGCAACACCCATGGATTCACATACACGCAAACATTAAAACAATAATAAAAGCATGAGCATGCTCACATAGTTGCAAAACAGCAAGACTTCGCGCGAAGATCACAAACACGTCGAGACTTAGCCAGACCACACAACAGGCTATAGCCTCTATATAAATATCACTAAGTAAAGACTCAGCCAGTCCACATAGCAGGCTGTAGTCTATAAACACTAAGCATGGATTTAACCAGTCCACACAGCAGGCTTAAATCCACATAACACAAAGCCGGGACTTAGCCAAAACACACATCAGGCTATAATCCCCCATATAATACACATATCACACAGATTCACAAAGTACCGTATTACAAATCATGCGCAAGCAACACCCAGCTCGCAACAAGACCACACAAACACCTCCACACTCTGTTTCACACGCAATAAACAAAAATCAAATAAATATTTAAGAAAGACAGAAATAAATATTTGTAAAATATGGGAATACTCACTTCTGTCTTCAGCTGCAACGGGATCGTACTCGTAGGACTCTAAATTCTCAAAGGATTCAACAACTAGATCTGCAGGTTTAATTATTCAAGGGTCACCCTTTACTCTAACCGAAATAATGTAAGTTAACTCATTTTATTTAATCACAGGTTTGAATAGAGAAATTAAACTCTAATTAGCATTGTAGCTTCCTATGTTATTGGTAATATATCCTATCCCCAAAGACGTTTGGTTCTATTGAAACCAAGTTGGTTTATACGGTATGCTAAATAGAGGAGTTGAGTTTGATAGAAGGGTTGCATCAAATCTACATCTAATTACACCATCCCACACCCAGTTTCTCTAATATTTTAGTTTAGAACAAGTCCAAAGGTTCTGCCTACACTATCCATATTGAAATTCTACAATAAACCAATTATCTATTATCATTTGTTTTACTTTAACATGACCAGGTTGATTAATAAGAGTTCATGTATACATTTTCCCAAAACCAAGCCTTATTACTAATCATATTGAAAAGATTAGGCTGCGATATACATCGAAGAAGGAAAATGGGACTTCTAGTCAACAAAATGCATTCAATCCAGCAACCCACCAAATTAGTTTGCTTCCTAATCATCTAAACAGAATTTCTCAAATGAATTAACAAACCCCCGAAAACCAACGAAGAACATTCTCAAACAGTCTTAGCTCACTTTGATTCAATCTACTCATTTGGATTAGAATTTTATGGAAAGATTAGCATGTTACCTTTATGAATTCCAAGCTTGAACTCTATTTGTTCTTCAAATCAGACTCCAAAACAATAACCTTAAGGAGCTATTTGTTTATCCAGAATCAGATTCAGGATTCGGATTCGGGATTCACTTTATTGTTTGTTTAGCCGGAAACAGATTCAAGGAATCGGATCCAGAATGAGTTTTTCAATCCGGCCTCCTTCCTAGGGATTCGATGGATTCGGATTCAAATCATTTTCTTTTTCTTTTTTTTTAAAAAAAACTCAGACATTTTTAGAAGCAATCCGATTTCTTATTATCTATCTTTCCTTCCCATCTTAGTCTCCGAAGACCTTGGTTGATGCCATTTTCACTGGCGGTTGAAGTTTCAAGCCCATATTTATTTTCTTCTCATGTCATCATCCACAGATCTGGGGGGTTGATTTGATGCTCTCCCAAATTGTTGGAAGCCGTGAGAAGCTCGAGTATTAGAAGAGACATAGAGTGAAGGTAGATGGTGCATGTGGGAAGTTCAGATTTGGAGGGTTGTTGGTGGCAGTGGTGGCGGAGTGAAGGTAGATGATGAGGGTGGACCGGAGGTGGCATTTGTTTGTCGGAATTCGAATGGTGGTTCTTTGTGGGAAGTTGTGGCCTGTGGAACAGAGGAGGAAGAGGGAAAGTTGTAATTTTTTTAATAAATTAAAATTGGTAAAATTGAAAGAAAAAGAATTATTTGAATAAATCCATATGTTCAACCAAACGACTCTATTGGATTCGTGAATCCTCGATTATTGAATCTATTCCGTCATCATTCAAACCCGTTTCTAACTGACAAAACAAACGCCTCCTAAATTTCTGAATTTTTTTCTTTTTGAAGCTTCCTTCTGTTCTCTTCCTTTTGGCCTCCCCCAAAGCTTTCTCTTCCTGGTCCACTTTTCCCTTATTTTATTTTATTTATTTTTTTTAAAAAACCTCTACTGGTAGTTTCCTAAGTTTGACTAATCTAGTAAATAATTTAGACATTTAACCCTTGGAAGCCACCTCAAATCTTAAGTCGATTGGCTCCCATTATCCCATTATTTTATCTTTTATTTTTTTCTATTTAATAATTATATATTTTCTTAATGCTTATCCTTCTTAATATTTTAATATTTTAAATGCTTAGTTCCTAAAGATGTTAAGTGGCTGAACCCTATTAAGCCTAAGTAATACTACACTTAATCAGGTGCTTAATTTCTAAGCTCTCACAAGTAGGGTCGTCTCCTTAGGGAACAGGAAAGCGAATTTAAATCTATTTAAAAGAGAAATAATCAAGTTGGAGCTGATTGAGTTCACAAATTACTAGAAATTAAAAACACAACAAATTGAAAACTAATATGCAGGTAAAAGATTATGAAGATATCAAATAAGAGAAAGCTTCTAGCTAAACGCATTACATCTACCTTGATCCAACAATCCTTTATGCAAAAATAAATTTATGCAAATCACAAATAAATTGGTTATAGTTAATGACACAACCTAACAACCAATTTATCCTTACTTTATTGGTAGTCAAGATACAATCGTTAACTACTCTAATCAGAAGACAACCCTAGAGACACTCGTAGGATTAAGTATCCAACAACATTAAGATTTAGAAAAACTCAATTCCAATTAACAAAGACGCAATCGGGATCATTCAAATTGGATTAATTAATTCCACAACACACATCAGCTGTTTACTTAGATAACCTGAGTTGTTGATTGCCACTTATTAAAACAAAACAAGCAATCTTGGATTTCCGTTTTAAATAGCTATAGAACAATTCAAAACAATAAAAAGGTGGCTTTTCCCTTAACAAATCTCAATAATCATAAACACTAAAAGCAAAAATTAAGTAAATAATTATGAAAACATGAAAAGATGTAATCAATTAGATCTCACAATTGTCATGGATTCAAGGCTTTAATAACTTTCAACTAAAAAAAAAAAGAGTTTAGTTGCTGAACATAATGGAAATAGCAACAAAATAGTTCATGAATAACACTACAGAGCAAGTAAAGAAGACAACTGAGAGAAATTTGCTAGTCCAGAGTTCCAGCTGTTCGTCAGTGTTACTCTTCTTCTTTGTCTTGGTTTGGCCAAATTTTCTCCTCGATTTATAGGAGAGGATGGCTGAAATCTTGCCTAATAACTAAGAGAAGAAATAGAATCTCAACTCTTTTCTTAATTTTACATAGTAGAAGCCAAGTTGGGCTCTTTTGAAAACTCATCTCTTAACTAGCAAGAAAATGAACCTAGACCCTTTTATAGACTTAAAATACATTATGTCTATTTTAGAAATAAAGGTAATCATTATATATATTAAAGGAAAGAAAGATAATCGACATGTATCGCCCATTCATGCCATCAATAGTTTCAATGGCACATGTCATTTTCTTATTGGATGATCATTAAACAGTAAAAAGTATTAGTTAAGCTGTCAATTCATTAAAATTACTTATTAAGATTTTTTATTTAGATTATTTTAATAATTCCAATATACAGTATCAAAATAATTATTAATTATGGAAATAAAATAAAAATCCTACTGATTTCCAGGAAGCAAAATGAAATGGCTGAACGAAGCGGTTGAGTGAATGAACAATGAACCATGAACCGCAGAACGGCGAAATATGAACGATGACCAGTAGAACGATGAACGATGAAAGATGAACGGAAGAACACCAACGTCGATGTGTTGAATGGCAAGTGAGTGAATTGAGTTTCGGCAAGATTCTCGGTTCGATCTTATATACTCTGATCCAGCATAAATCGAGTGGAATTGAGATATCGGTTTTGTGGAACTCATCATGGGGATCATTTTGGTGTAAAGAACGATGAGTTTTGTGCATTGGAATGCGTGGTCGAAATTCAACGGCAGCGATTCCCTTTGGCTAGCAAACTACTTTACGGGAGGTTGAAGATGATAAGTTTTTAAAATTGTTAAAAAACCCCCACATTCAGAAGCCTTTGCATGTAAAAGTTTAAACTTTCAAATATTTGTCAATTCGACCCTTAAATTCATTAACGTGCTACTTAATTCTTCAAGTCCATCAATTGTACATTTCCAAGGACATTAATTGTGCAATTGTGCCGCATATGTTATCCTTTTGATAATGAATTAATGACTATAAATTATATAAATATGTTATGATTATCTTTGATAATTTGAAATTTGGAATGATCTGATGGTATCATTCTATTTTATTTTATTTATTTTTTGATATATAGGCAATTTGGTTTAACTATCTTTTTTTAACGAAAGAAAAAAAATCTTAACTTTAGTGGATTACAATTTGTACTCGATTTGGATTGATTTCTTTGTTTGGGATTTGTCATGAGTTGTCATTCCATTTTGTGAATTAGTCAACATCTTTGAGTTCTTTAAAACAAATATGATACCGGATCTTAAAAAAAAATTGATACCGGATTATTGGGTTCATACTACACATTAACCTATGTTGGTAATTTTCTACACCGATCAAATACTTAATATTGGTAGTTTTCCATTCCTTTAGCTGTTAACTAGAGAGTCTTTGTCTCAAATTTGAAATACGTTATTGTTCATAGTATTGTCTCCTTGGCATTATTTGAATTATGATGACGACTTTGTACCCAAAAAAGTTAAAAAATAAAAAAAAAGAATTATGGTGGTAGAAGTTATCATATATCTCGAAGGATTTAGAGCAATATTTTGCTGCATATATACTTTGTTGTTCGAATGAATATTATATTCTTCCTCTAATAGGAGAGAAGGAGATGTTGTTTGTGGCATCTAATAGAATAATAAGGACTTGGATTCTCAAGTGAGATACCTACTTTTTAGTTTGAAGGAAAACTATTGCTCTTTATTTCATAGTGGGAGGAAAAAAGAATATGTTAATACTTTTCAACAAAATGTTCTAAAATTAATAACAAAAAATAAAAACTAGATAATCATTTTAAGATAAAGGGAATATTTTATACATCACTTTTATGTGATAATATAATGACAAAAAGAGCTTACTATCTTGAATTAAAGCAACAATATTAAATTAAATTATTTTTAGGATGAAAAGAGCATTAAATTAAACTATTGTGTGTTTGCTTGAATCTATACGAGTTTTTTTTTTTTTTGTATAAGATCTTCAATAATACACATCAACTATTTATATTGAAACTTCTAAGGATAATTAATGTCATTATAATTTGATTATCATGATAATATCTAAAACTCGCCATGCAACGCACAAGACATATACTACTTTCCAACTAAAAGATATTTTCTCAGAAAACAAATCGTTTATTTGAGTGCAAACACAATATCTTATTGGCAACCTTTTTACTTTGAGTGTGAAAATGATTTCCTTGACCCCTTCCTAAAGAATAGGAACTTTTAACTCTAAGAACTATCAATTAATTCGTCCAAATCCACAGCAGCCCTCAAAGTTTGTAGAAACTATACTTTTGCTCTAAAACTTTCTCAATTTTGTAGTTTAGTCCCTGATCGAAATTTCCAGCTTGTCCTTAAACGTGATCACATGCTAAATCAACTCCACTTCTACCCACGAACAAAAATCTCTTCTATAAAAGTTTTGAAAATCTCCAAAATCTTCATTTTTTTTCATCCTTTTCGTCCAAAGGATCTCCTAAGATCAAATTAAGCATAAAACACCAATATTAGTATAGATACTATTCAAAATTACACATACCAAAAATCATTTTGTCTTAGCATAGACTATATGTGTCTAATTTTCTCAAACTTATTTCTTTTAGTAGGGAGAACTTAAAACATCTTCCTTTGAGAAAAGAATGTACACATCTTTCACTCATAAGCTATCAAGACATGTCTTCATTCAATGGTTATCTAAGGTAAAGATAATTTCCAACAGAAGGACTTGAATGGTGTTATAACCATGATATAATGATGTGATATCTCAATGAAAAACGTGCCTCATGTGTAATTGCTCAAAACCTAATATGTTGCTCACACTGAAAATTTGGCATATGCTAACCCAATACATATCAATCCTTTAACTGAATGCAAACTATACACGTAGTGCCCACAACTTATTTTGCTCAATCTTGTAAATGAGGGGAGTTTGTAAAGATTAACCATACTATTCTTTCCATAACAATCAAGCGTATCGCTAAAAAGGCAAATACCCTTGTCCTTTTCTTCATGCTCAAGACCTTCATTTGCTGAATTCTTGGGATAGATCTTAGAGTTTCAACACATTAATCAGGGTACCAGAAATTATAAATATGCTATCGTACCAACATATGAGTGTGTGGATCGGGCCGCTATACTATTCAACATTCAGACAATGAAACGTGTCTATCCTCCAAACCCTTAAAGTTTCTCAAGTGAACTAGAGCATAGTTTTTTTTTTGATGAAGAAGAAAAGAAACCGTTATTTATTAATATAAATAATTAAAAAAAATCATTGTCACCAAAACGTTAAACCATAACAATTTAGAATGACATAATTCAGAGGGAAAACGGGAAATTGATTACAACTATAAATATGAATCCGTCGATCAAAATTATGAATGATAAATTGACACACAAAGCACGCTTACCAGCACTCATCGACTCATCGTAGTCTACCATCTCAGTGAAACTAGAGAATCGTTTTCCATTGAACCCACTAGACAAGTGATAGCTGCCTAGTGCCCCTAAAGCTTTGCAGTTTCTTCAGGGAATAACTCTATCATGAGTGAAAATCCAGACAAGTATGTTCTCATCTTGAGTTCCATAAAAAAACCAAATCATTGATTTCAACAACAGATACAACCAGGCTTTTAGATTCCTTAAGAAGTAATTCTAATCTTAACTTCAAATGTCCAGTCTTTTTTTTTCTTTTTAAAGCAACTCATTGTATTGTATTTCCTGCACGAGTACATTTTGATATAGGCCTAAAACAAACACTACATCAGTTCCATACTAATAGCATAACTCTCACCATCTCAAAACACAAAAAAAAAAAAAAGAAAAAAGAAGCAAACTCTCATAATATTCAACCTATTATATATAGCACCGATAACATATAGAGACTCAGATCCAGTTCACACTAATATTTTTCTAAAACCCTTCTATATATTCCACATTAGCCTCACCATCTTCATCGCGGTAGAGTACTTTATCTGCTTCTCCAGCTGCAATGTCATAATCTTTGTCATTTCAGTACACCCTTGGGGTAGTAACATAAAGAAGTTCGCTCTCAACCCTTTTACTAAAGATTTTTGGAGTAACAATTTTCGGGTCCCAATCAGGATTTTGTATTTTCAGCTCCTTAAGAGTTGAGATGGATTCCTTAACCACCTTATACCCATTAGATTTCCTCAAAATGAATCATTTTGTAGTGAAAATCTTCACTTCCATCTAGTTGAAGTAGGCAACAATGTTTTCAGAGCATTCCCGAAGTGCTGCATAGCCTTCATGAGCCTTTTTCATGTCTTCCCTTCCAATAGCAAGAGGAGGTAACACGGTAAATGAAGAGGCCTCCACTGCAACATTAGAAATCTTCCCTTCCTCTAAAGTTATTGACTAGGTACAATGTTCCACACTGTTCAATTTCTCTAAGAGTTTCAGATCATCATCGGACTCCAACTTGATCAACAAATGTGGAGCCAATTCCACATTCACCTGCATTTTGACATTCTCCATATCATCCTTCACCTCACGGAACATCTTGGGAGTTAAAACTAAGCTGGATTGAATAACCTCCTCGCCGGCAATTTGGAGCGAACGACCCTTGAGCGGTGGCTGTCCTCTGGTGGAGTCATCTGAGATCACCATAGCCATATTTAGATGTGGGAATAGAGAATACGGATGTGGAAATAGATTGGCGTGGAAGGTAGAATTTCGTGGCCATTATATGTCCAGTCTTAATTCCTTTTCAATAACCAAGAAAAATCTAACAATGTTTATTATATATAAAACTAATCAGATTGATCAAAATTATTTGTTTCATTGAGCACTGTAGTTGTATCCCTAAAGCAAAACAACCATCTTTCCTCCTGCAAAAGAAAACGAGGCTTAATGCAAATAGAGGTCACACAGCAGGTTCATTCTCATGAAACTCCCTCTAGAGAATAACAGGGGCCTCCATCAAATGAATGATGGTGCCAGTTTGATGAAACAGAGGGTGGACAACTTGTCTGATCTATGAGGTGTTCTCTATGAATAGTCGGCTGGTTCCTTGGCTCGAGAGGGTATTTCTTTCCAATTGGATTTATGACAAGAGAACCACTTGACTTGTCAATTGTAGGGTGAGGAAGGAAGAAAGTGAGCTAAATTTTGATTTTAACATCCCCCAACTCTTTGGCTAATGATATTTATGGGAGAAATAACCAAATTTAACATTTCTAGTGCAATTGCGATAAGAAAATTAAGCAAGAAGGGATTAAAAAAAATATCTTTCTTAATTATAATGTTACCTTTTCAAACAATTTGGACAACAAAAATGGATTAAAAACTATATGGTTTAAGATGGTCACCATAAAGAGAAACGTTCTTACAATAAAAAAAAACTATATTAATGTACCACTGCTATTAATAATCTATACAAGAAAATTATTAATGGAGTTGATTAGTTCTAATTTTGTATATAATAATTAAAAGTGAATTGATCATTAATCTTATAATAGATGTCTACAAATTGGGTGAGACAATTTTTTAAAGATTTCTTTACCATCCAAATATGTTATTGAAACGATAGATTTTATTGTTCACTTTTTTATCTGAAAAACTTTAAAGGCATTTGAAAAAATAATCCCTCAAAATTTTTTTTTTGTTGTTGAGTAAAACCAGCAAGAGATTACTCCCAAAAAACTAATTATTAAAAATTACGTGAATCCCATAGACATAAAAATAAAAAATAAACAAAAATACTATGATCTTTCTCTCGTAAAAGATACAAAAATATAAAAATATGATAAAGGAGAGTAACATTTTATTACAATGATATTTAATTATGTTTAGAATGATATAGATTCAAGAAACTGTTTAACGATTTGAAATATTCTAAGTTATCGTTTTTAAAATTATGTGAAATAATATACATGTACACTTCATTTTTATGTATTAAACTTTGAAGTTTAGTATAAATTCAATATTATAAAATTAAATATTTATTAACAAGTTGATTATAGTGGCAGATTATTATGCTAATTGATTAATAATATTTCATGACTCATAAACATGGTATTCACGTAGTTAAAATTTTAAAGTCAAACCTAATGCAATTTGTGCGATGGATGAGATTAAAACTAGTATTAATGAAAGTATCACTGTGATTTTATTAATCTTGCTCACATGGTCTTGAAACTTTTTTCTTGATGGTTGCATAAGTTATAATCCAAAAACTAACAAACTTCTTCTTTTGGCTAAACCAGTGTGCCCGATCAACATACTAATTATCAGCACTGCTAACATAGGAAAATAAAACCATTAACAACGAGGTGAATAGTTTCAAAATCATGCATGATTAAGTTAAAATGGCTCGCTTGATAGATCTTATTTCATGGTAAAGAAAAAATACTACACTAAGTGAAATTGCCTTAGCTTATGAGGCAGCTCGACATCACAGAGAAGCAATTCCTTCCCTTAATAATTTTTGGCATAAGCTAATTCCTTCAAAAATATCTTTCTTTGCATGGAAACTTTTTAATCGCTTGCTTCCATTCCCTGAAATTTTGCAAAAAATTGGACTGGTTTTAAGTCCCTCAAGATGTCCTTTTTGTCAGGATGATGTAGATAGCATTGATCATGTTTTTTATGCTTGTCAAAAAGTAGAGCCGGTTTGGCAATACTTTGCTTCACTTTTTGGAATTCTAATTCCTCATAATGCAGGTTGGTGGAATAGTTTAAAAACTTGGCAAGGGATGGGTTGTTTTACCTCAGCAAAAAAATCAATAATAATGGTCTTGCCACTATTTTTGCTATGGGAAATTTGGAAGACACGGAATAGAATCATCCACGATGATATGCAAATCTCTTTCAGTTTTTTGATTAAGGAAATCATGACTAATATTTCAAATATGTTGAGTGTACATGGTCTAAGGGCTAAGTATCTTGAGGGAAAAAAAGAGCTAGAGGACCTCTTCAGAGTGAAGGTAAAAAGGCCAAAAATCAAGAAGATATCAATGCTGTGTTGGAAACCTCCAGATCCTGGGGAAATAATATTAAACACAGACGGGTCTGCTTTGGGACAACCGGGAGAAGCGGGATGGGGATACATCATTAGAGGAGAAAAAGGCACCTTCATTTTTGCAGAAAGCAGCTATATGGGCCATGCTACGAGGTTGGAAGCGGAAATAGCAGGCATCTACAATGGACTAAGAGCATATGAGGAAAGAAATTTGCACAATGTTATTGTCCAAACGGATAATAAAAGCATTGTTGCCTTGCTACAGCGAGATACTAACTTTCCCTATAAGCATTATCAGATTTTGAAGAAAATACAGCAAATGTTGAGGATTCAAAACTATAAAATTATTCATGTATTTCGAGAGGTGAATAGTGTGGCAGATGAGCTTGCTAAAGGATCCTCTAAGGGGTGCTCATTGCAATATTATTCCTATGGGACTTTACCGGCATCATTAAGAGGTAAGATCTATCTAGATCAAAATCTTTTTCCCTATCCAAGGGTTAGATAAAGTGATTGAGATATAAAATAGGTAAGTAGAGATGTCAGGTTGTAAGACATCCTCTTAGTATACTTAGTTATATCAAAATAGAATCTAGATGGAGTTTTCAGGGGATTAATGTTTAATCTTTGTAAGATATACTCCAAGACTATAGAGTTTGGATAACTGAACTGTTATGGTATATTAGCATATCTTTGTAAGACAGTTCATAGTGGTAAAAGCATCAAGAACCGTCATGAGGTTTTAGTAAAACTTTGTTAGACGGTCTCTTTCTATTTGGGTAAGTCTTAAGCACTGCCTTGTGTAATTTTTTCCTTTTAATTAATAAAATTGGGGGGATGCCTGCCAGGTACCGTCCTGGTTCACCTAAAAAAAAAGTATAGTTCAACAAAAGCAATATATTATGCTCAATCACTAGGATTAAGAAAACATATTCTATGAGAATTTCACAAAAATAATTAGGTCTGCATTGGTCAATGTGAGACCACATGAACCAACTTGAGTGGCTATAGGAAAACTGATGATCTCTTACCAGGTTGAGAACAAGCAATCCACTGGTCCACGTTGGCCAGTGTGAAACCATATGCCCAAACTTGAATGGTTATAAGAAAAATTAATGTTCCTTTACCATTTAAAGCCTAAAGAAGATGAAAATTAGCAAACTAATTCTTATTGAAAAATATAAAATATAAATAAATACAGAGAATAACAAGAAATATTGTGTACCATGAATGCAGCAAAAAAAAACCCACAGTCTGCATTGGTTAATATGAGAGTGCCCCAACTTGAGTAGTTTTAGGAGAAATCGACGGTCCAGTTTAAAAATGATTGTCTTTTATGAGGAATCCATAAAAAAAACCCGATCTGCATAGGTTAATGTGAAACAATATGCACCAATTTTAGTGGTTATAAGAAAATCAATGATCCCTTACCACCTTGAAAAACATCTAGGGAATAAAATGAGTATCTTAATACGGCAAAAATGTGCCAAATCAACTTTTGTTTTAAATACCAAAACTAATCTCCATATAAACCATCTGATGCTCAACTTGATGGAACTTTTGTAGGTAAATTTGGTATGTAAGATATGAGTTTTTTTGCACATATTTGTTGTTTTGGCATTAAGGACACCCGATAAAGATCAGTATAGTACTTCTATTAGAAAAATATAATATATAAATAAATATGGATAATAGAAATTAATATCAACTTCGAAATTGATTAACGAAATTAGAGAATAGTAAAATTGATTGCAAGCTTGTTGTGAATAAGATTAACGAAGTTGATGAATATAATTTTATGGAGATACTACATAAGTACGATAGAGAAATAGAGTGGAGGGATAGAAAGAAAAATCATATGGCAGATCAATTCGCCAAAGAAACTTGCATCGAATTGCCAAAGTTGACAAAAAAAGGTAGAGTTCATCAATGTAACAAAGAAGCACCTTTCCCCCGAGGTCTTGAACTTGCTAGTGTCAAATAGAAAGCTCACGTTAGCTGATAAAAACGGAAACAGAGAGGATGTAAAAAAGACAAGTCTACAAGGAAGATATGTTAAGAAAAAGAACACAAAACACAAAGAAAATTATCAACACCAAGTGGAGGAAGAACAAATGGCATTTCAAGAAGTCGAGAGAGAAGCCGAAGAGGAAAGCAAGTATACTAGTTTCTGATATGACGATTATTGCATCATCTCAGAGAGCTCAAACAAAACAAGTAACAACGAATAGACAAAAGGGGTTGGGACAAGTAATATAAAAATGAAAACTAAACAAGAAATGCAAACCAATGATGTACTAAACTAGATCTTCATACACATCATAGACTAAAGGACATGTCTATACACCTCTACGTTGAATAATGATTGATAGTTTCTATTTTTCATGGAATAATAAAAAGTACCTGCCAAAACAGAGTACATAAACTGTTACACAATTCTCGCCGAAAAACAGAGCAAAGAAGCTAAATAGTCAATAGAAACACAAATAACAAAAATTAGCATGATATTCACATCCAAATGTGATATTCTTAGCATCAACGGCCAAAACACGAGATCAGCTGGCAACTTTTCTTAAGAATGACAAGTTCTCATAGTTTAGTCATGCAATGTAAAGTCAATTTTTGTTGTCTATTCTTTCTACATTACTACAAG